GCTGTGCCGGGAGTACATGGACACGAGGGATCCGTAGAAGAGCACCACAACAGCCAGGTGGGACGCGCAGGTGGAGAAGGCTTTGCGCTTCCCCACGGCCGAGCGCGTGCCCAGGACGGCGGCCAGGATGAAGCCGTAGGAGAGGAGGATGGCCAGGATGGTGGCAGCGAGGTTGAAGCCCACCATGATGAACATCCCCAGTTCGTTGGGCGTGGTGTCCGTGCAGGAGAGGGCGAAGAGTGGGGGCCCCTCGCAGTAGAAGTGGTCGATGACGTTGGGGCCGCAGAAGCTCAGCCCAAGGGCCAGGCCCGTGTGCAGGGTGGCATTGGTGACCCCAGCCAGGCACGAGCCGCCCACCAGGAGCACACAGATCCCTCGGGACATGGAGAGGGAGTAGAGCAGGGGGCGGCAGATGGCCACGTAGCGGTCATAGGCCATGGCAGCCAGCAGGTAGCACTCGGTGGTGGCGAAGGCCACGTAGAAATAGAACTGGGTGAGGCACGCGGCATGAGAAATGACCTTGTCCTGATCCAGGAGATCCTGGAGCAGCCTGGGAGTGATGCAGGAGGAGTAGCAGAGGTCGAGGAAGGCCAGGCTGGTCAGGAAGAAGTACATGGGGGTGTGGAGCTGGGCAACCAGCCGGATCAACACCAGCAGCCCCACATTCCCCAGCAGGGTGATGACATAGATCACCAGGAACACCACGAAGAGGACAACCTGGGTGTTGCCCTGCTCTGAGAATCCCAAAAGGACAAAGTGAGCACTGGGTGTTCCATTCCCTTTGGCTGCCATCCTAACGCAGGTGCTGCAGGAAAGCCGAGATGCAGAGTCAGGATATCCCTGTTTTCTGCACAAACATGTTAAAAATGCTTGTATTTTTATCAGCAAGCACAGCCTGGAGATGCAGGAACTGCAGAATTTACTGTTTTTTCAAAACACATTGTTCAAAGTACATGTTCAAAGGTCATCAAAGTTCACTATTGAGTTTGTTTCTAATGGTTTTAGTCTGGTTTAGCCACTAATTTGGTTTGGTAAATCACTTTGCACAGTAGAAGGTTTATTCCACCTCTCAAAGAGGTTTAGGGGGTTGTTACTAATCAGATTCAAAACATTAACCCCAGTAATTTATCCTGACTTTAGAAGTAATTATGAATTTTATAAACGAACTGAAAACAACAAAAAACACCCCAAAAAAATCCCAAACCTTCTAAATCTGGTTTAGAAGATCCAAAAGAGAGAAAGCACTGTTGAGAGATCAGGACATCTTTAAAATTTTCTTTAGGAGAGTCAGAACAAATGAAAATAAAACAAATTTCTGTCCTTCCTTCCCATGAAATTGAAATTCAGGTCGGAGCAGGATATTTGTATTAAAAAAACTCTAAATATTGTGATACTCATTCCTGTGAGAAGTGTGAAGTTGAGGAAGAAAAGGGTTTTAAAAGCCTGTAGGGACCAAAATGGTTGTGGTGCCATGGGGGGAGTAAGATGCTGATAATGCAGTTCAAATAAATAGAAATAAATATATATAATTTAGGAAATAATCCAGGTAGTGCTACTATGAAATGAATGATCTTCAAGGCCAGGTTGAACAGAGCTTGGAATAACCTGGGCTAGTGCAGGGTGTCCCTGCCTGTGGACCATCACTGGAGGATCCATAAGGTCCCTTCCAACCCAAACTTATTCCATGATAAATTCCTGGGTTTCACCTCAGAGGCCCTGAGGCTGGATGATTATTTATTGTGAGAACAAGCTCCTTTCCTTGCAACAAATAACTCCTTCAGCCTAATTTTGGATAAAACTCACCTATTTCCTCACATCTCGGGGCCTTTTTTGCTTGACCAGATTTTACCTCCCAGACCAAAATTTCAGGGAGAAATGAACCCAGATTTCTTCCAGTATTAGTGTGGAAGACAGGAATAATTTATCCTCACAAAGAGCATCAAAACTTGACTAAAAAACCTGCTGTGTGTAGTCTTCATTCACAGGAGAACCAGGGGATTTGTCATTGCCCAGCCCTGGAGGAAGAAATTTCCCTTGGGAATGGATGACTTTGGAAGCAGATCCTTAAGGAGGAGACTTGCACTGGTAAATAAATGTTATTAGTTAAAACAACTCAATTAGTTTTGGGAAGTTAAATGGCAGCTTGAGGATTTATTTATCACACTCTCTCTCTCTCTCTCTCTCTCTCTCTCTAATTAAATATATTAACATTTTAATATATAAATAAATATAGATGTTTATTTTATATATGCAGTTATAGATATACTTATTTAATACATAGAAATATTTTCCTAATAGATATAATTTTATTTTATATATTATATGTAATTACATACATTTAAATGTATCTCTTGGAATATATAATTTCCTTGAATCACAGGGAATTAAAAAGAACTGGTGTAAGAAATGGAGATTCAGGGATTGAGAGACAGCCCGGGGTTTGGAGAAGTGCTGCAATTACCAATCAGGATGAAAGAAAAACTCTGCCGGAACTTTCCTGCTGCAATTTATTTTTACATTTTCTGGTAATAATGATGAGCTGAATTTAAGATTTTTAGGCTCTGATTGACCCTTCAGTCAGCTTTCCCAGAGTGTGTCTCCTAATTCTGCTGATATGAGGAATATTCATCCAAAATTTGAGTTAAGATTGAAGGTTCAGATGTACTGGAATACATGTTTTGCCATCAGGAAGGACCTTCTCAATTTCCTGGACTTATTTGTTATTATATTCCATGAAAACCTTCATGGAGAGGCTCCTGCTTCTGCAAACACCTGGGAAGGACAATTTTCCCCACCTGGAAAAAAACTGTCTCAAAACCAGTTAAAATTTCAGCGTTTCTGATTAATAAGATACTCACAGTTCCTTGAGCTGAAGTCCACAAGCTACATCAGTCTGGCCAAAACCAGGAAGTTTTCTGCTTCCACCCTCTAACGTGGCTGGAATATTTAAGTTTTACCCCTTCCCCACGCGACCAATTACCACAGGGTCTCTTAGGCACCTGAACACAGAACGGGCCTTCCCCAGAGGCCCTGGGATCCATCCCGAGGTTTCTCCCTGGAGTTTTAGGGATGGGATGCCCACAGCACATCGGAATTGATGCAGGCAGAGCCTGGGCGATGCCATTTGTGAACACAACGCTGTCAAGAGGAAAGACCAAAACAAGAATTTTTGCTAAAGGCTTATATTGGAAATATTTTTAAATTCTTCTCTAATTCTGTATTTCTCTTCCCCTCTCACCGTCCCAAAGAAACTTTTCCTTCCCTGTCCCTCCAGCTCTCAGTCAATGTTTTTCTCCACCTGCTGGTGTGTGTTCTTGCACCCAGGAGGTATCGATGGCTCATCTCAATCTTGGTGGCCACCACAACCTCCACAGCTGCTCTCCAGCCTGTCCTGGTGTCTGAGACAATTATTACCCATGGGCAACACTCAGCATTTTCCCTTTTCCAAGTTCTTCTTGTTCCCATCTGCCCATTTTTGACCAGAAAAGCTCATTTTGAAAAGCCATTTTGCAATGTGTGCTTCAAAATGGGTTCAGGAGATTCACCAGGAGTAAACTGTGTCAGCCAGAGCATCCTGGAAGGGCTGGGGTTGGAAGGGACCTTAAAACTCATCTCAGTCCAATGCCATGCCATGGGCAGGGACACAAGATGACCCCTGAGGGGGGGTGCGTCCATCAGAAGCAAACATCAATGCTGGACATTCCATCTCCTTCCCACACAGTGGCTCCCTCTCCTCTCATGGTCAGATGCTGTTCACAGAGATGCTGGACACAGTTCACCCTCCTTTACCCAATCCCCACTTCCACAATAAGCCAAAATCTTTTGGTTTTGAGAGCAGCAGCTCCAGCACGAAGCCACAATGTGCACAGTGACAGTGCCTTGGCCACAGGCTCAGTGTTTAATTCACTAAGGGCTCATGTTCCTGCTTAAATGGTCAAGGCAAGACTGGATGGACAAAGTCATTGAATAGTTTCTCAAACTATTATTCAAATATTGAATATTTTTCAATTTTTAAAAAAATATTCAGTATTTTATTGCCAAACAATGGTTGTAAGGCCCCAGTTGCTCTGGAGCTTATGTTTTAAATGTCATCATGTTTTATTAAATTAATAATTATTAATTTAATAATTAATTAATGTTTTAAATAAAACATTAAAAATAATCTATAGTCCTGTTTAAACAAAAAACGTACAATCTTTTCTGCACTTAAATCAAGCAATGTCCTGAGGGTGGCAGGGAGGAACAAATGAGTGGGAGAACAGAAGGAGTTACACAGAGGTCTCAGTTTCTGGTCTTGATCACAGAGTCATGGAATTGGTTAGGTTGGAAAAGTCCTCTAGGATCATCAAGTCTGCCCATTCCCACAGCAGTGCCAACATCACCACTAATCCATGTCCCCAAGTGTCACTTCCACACGCCTTTTAAATCCCCCCAGGGATGGGGACTCCACCATTGCCCTGGGAAGCCTGATCCAGGGCTGGACAGCCCTTTCCATGGAGGGATTTTCCCTCTATCCAACCTAAACCTCCCCTGGTGCAGCTTGAGGACATTGATTCCACACCTGGAGATGTGTGAGTTGGAGACCTCTGGGGTCCCTGCCATGGTGGGGTCAGCACAGCTGGTAAGAAAGGAACAGGAGCATAAACAGCTCAGGGGGATTGATCCAGGCAGGCAGACTAAATAATAATCAGGGAATTATCAGGAAGCTCTGGCGATGCCTTGAGAGGCTACCTAGAACAGAGACTAGACAAAGAATAAAGTAGGTATTTATTAAAGGCCTTCAAAGGATACACCTTGGGCAGTACAGGAGCCCAGCAGAGGCTATGCCCAAGATGGATGCTGGGTCACGAGTTTTCACACTTTTTGTAGGTTTTGGTCCATTTACATATTTGGGTTAATTGTCAAAATACAGCTTCAGGTAATGAAGTGCCATCCTCCCAGACTGCTCTCCTCAATTCGCTGTTGTTTGCACTTTTTGGGCCTGAAGCTGTTACGGTGTCCTTGGTTCTTGGGCTGGAAAAGGATTGTTTTGTCTAACTGAACTGTGAGGAGAAGTTGCTAACACTTTATATGAAGTTCTGAGTTATATACTTACGCAGTACAGAATCTGAAAAATATGAAAGCTAAAACTTAAGGCATCATTCCCCCCTTTAGAGGCTTGACAAGGCCTCTACCTTGTTGAGTCTCTATTCTAAACATCTACTAATAATAAAGGAACAAAGGGAACAAAGGACTCAGCTCATTGATCCTAAGTGCCTGTGAGTTGTGTGTCATCAATAAATCAGCAAACTACCTTGATCCAACCCAACTGAGCAGCTTCTCTTCCATCCCAAGTTATTCCATGTCTCTAGGAGAGTTCCATCATTCTGGATTTTACCACGGACCTGAGACAGGATGAGATAATGCTCTGATTGGAGGTTTTGGGGTTTTTTCACATATGCAATGCTTGTGCACCAAAACATTAAGACCAAATATATCTCAGAATTCTGGAATGGTTTGGGTTGGAAGGACCCTCAAGGCTGATTCAGTTCCAACTCCTGCTGTGGGCAAGGGCACCTTCCACTAGACCAGGTTGCTCCACGCCTCATCCAAACATCAAAATTGGAGTGAAATTACTATTTTCAGCTGATATTAAATCAGCCAGCACATCATCTAAATCAAAGTGCAGAGTGTGCCAAAAATGTCCCTCTGACATATTTCACAAAATTCCCAGGGTAGCACCCACATCTCCATTGTGACTGGCCACAAAGTTAAAACTTTGCTTTAACAAAGTTAAACAAAGTCAAAATCCAAGATCGTTTTGTTTTCCTGAGTCTCCTCCAAGCCTCCTTCACCTCTTTGTTCCTCAGGCTGTAGATCCAGGGGTTCAGCATGGGGGTCACCACAGTGTAGAGCACAGCAACCCATTTTTCTCCTCCCCTGGAGGTATCTGACCTGGGGATTAAGTACATGAAAATCAACGCCCCATAGAAGATGCTGACAATGGTGAGGTGGGAGGCACAGGTGGAGAAGGCTTTGTGCTTGCCCTCAGCTGAGCTGATGCTCAGGATGGTGGGGATGATGGCCACATAGGATGCCAGGACCACCAGGATGCTGGGAACACCAAGCAAAGATGAAGCAGTCCTCAGGATGGCGAGGCTGAGGGTGGTGTCGGACGTGGAGAGCAAGATCAGCAGGGAAATGTCACAGAAGAACAGATTGATGGTGCTGGAGCCGCAGAAGAACAAGCTGGACATGCCGATAGTTTGTCCTATGCCATTGGTCAGCCCCAGGAGGTAGGACCAGGTCACCAGCTGGGAGCAGCGCTCTGGGGACATGACAAGGGGGTAGAGCAGGGGTTGGCAAATGGCCACGTATCGGTCATAGGCCATCACAGCCAGTAGGAAGCACTCAGTGACCAGAAACAGGGTAGAAGTGAACACCTGAGCCAGGCACCCAGCATAGGCCATTCTCTTCTTCCCCAAAAAAACCCCAAACAACATCCTGGGGGTGATGATGGTAGAAGAGCAGAGGTTCACAAAAGCCAGGTTGCCCAGGAAATAATACATGGGGGAATGGAGCAGGGGGCTGGCTCTGATCAAGGTGATCATCCCCAAGTTCCCCAGGATGGTGACAAGGTAGGTGAGCAGGAACAGCAGGAAGAGGGTGACCTGAGTTGCTGGGTTCTCGGTGAATCCCACCAAGCTGAACTCAGTTGCTTGGGTGCAATTGCTTCCCAGCATTCCTTCAAAGAGTGTTGTCTGTGTGAACTCCTTGCTGGAGGTTTCTTCCAGCTGGAAAACCCTTTTTGCAGTGGGATCTGCTTGGAGACAATCCTACAAAATCTAAAATGAGAGTTTAGGCACAGATTGATTAGACAGTGCTGGGTGGAAATCATGGCATGGGTAGGGAGAAGCTGTAGGTTACACAGCCCTGAGGAGCTTTACCTTGGTGCTGCGTTTAATCCCCCTGTGTGTGTTCAGTCTGGGACTTTGAAATTATCCTGCACAACCTGAAACATGGAGAAACCAAATAAAAGCTGTAAAACACAGCAGATTATTGATTATTCATCCTTATCCTGCCAACCACCTGCTTTGTCTGTCTTCTTCATAGAATCTGGAAGGGTTTGGGTTGGAAGGGATCTTGAAGACCATCTCATTGCACCCCCTGCCATGGGCAGGGACACCTTCTACCAGACCAGCTTGTTCCAAGCCCCCATTCAGTGTCGTCTGGTTTACAGAGAAGGGGCATCCAAAACTTCCTGACAATGAAGTCTACCCTCCCTCCTGATTCAGCTGGTTTTGCCCTAAAAGATTTTCCCAGCTCTTTACCCTGTTCCTGCAGTCTTCAAACAAAAATACGCAACACCCAAAGCTGAGCAATCTCCTCCTGAAAATATTTCTTTTTTTGGGAAAAAAAAAATTAAAAATCACCTTTTGGATGTGTCTTATATCAGCAATAGTAAAATCCGTAAGTGTTCCTTACAGGAAAGCTGCCAGTCCTCATCCAGGAGCCCTTTGCGTTCAGTGAGAAGTACCCAGAGCGAGCGTTGCGATGGGGTGTTCTCACCACACACCTGCAGGTGCAGATCACCTGGATTTGGTGCTAAGCCCAGAGTACAATAAGGAACTGGAGCACAGGAGCCTCCAGGTAGGAGCTGAGATGAAGACTGAAGTTGTTTCCTCTTTGAAAGGGAAAATGACAGGAGATGGGTGGCTCGGCATGCGCTGTCCTTGCTCGTGGTCCTCCAGGATGATCCTCCCCTACATCTCCACGCTCTCCCTGCTTGCCTTCTGATGCTCTTCAAGGTGGATATTAAGGTGCTCTTCAGGTGAGTTTAAAAATATATCACTGTCAGCAAAGACCTTTTTCCATGTAATTTGGGGATTTAGAGGCTCTTGGAGCCCCGGGAGAGTGACAAAGCCCAAAGCAGGTTGTTATCTCTTCTCTGAGCTTTTGAGTTTAGAGGCAATTACACAGAGGAGATGATCTCACCTTGAGTAAGCCACAGGGCTTTGGGGACTCCACAGAGCAACCACAGTGCAAAACCCCACCTGTTGTGTCAATTTTTTGAGCATTTCAGATATTTTCAGCTCTACAAATGCTGTGTTTGGCCTTATCACACCAGTGAATTGAGTGGAATCTCACTGGTAGGGCACAGTCCCATGGGAGCTGGTATCCACCAGAAGTTCCAGTCACCAGAGATGATGAATCACCTTTCTACCCATTCTAAATTCCTTAGACCCAAACCACACTCACCTGTCCAGTCCCTGGAAGTGTTCAAGGTCAGGTTGGAGCTATCCAGTCTAGTGGTAGGTGCCCCGGCCCATGGCAGGGGGGATGGAACAAGATGAGCTTTAAGGTCCTTTCCAACCCAAGCCATTCCAGGATTCTATGAAGTTTGGCTGCAAGAATCCAGGAGAATCACAGAATATGCTGAATTGGAAGGGATCCATGAGGATCATCAAGTCCAGCTCTCAGCCCTGCATAAGCCCATCCCCAAGAGTCACACCATGTACCCAAGAGCATTGTTTAGATGTTTGTTAAGCTCTGTCTGACTTGGTGCTGTGACCACTGTTCTGGGGAGTCAGTTCCAGTGTCCAACCACACCCTGGGTGAGGAACATTTTTCCAATACCCCCAACTCAAACCTCCTGTGACTAGGACAGAAAAGACATCAGTGTTTGCCCCTCTTCTTCCCCTTGTGAGGAAGTTGCAGACTGCAAGGAAATCTCCCCTCACTCTCTTCTTCTCCAGGCTGAACACACCAAATATCCTCAGTCACTCCTCCAACAGCTTCTCCTGAGGGGCCTGCACCATCTTTGTTGCCCTCTTTTGGACAGTCTCTTATAGTTTCATGTCTTTCTTATATTGTGGTGCCCAGAACTGCCCCCAAGACTCAAGGTCAGGCTGCCCCAGTGGGTTGCCTTGTCATAAAAGGAAAACAGATTTGATAAGCAGGACTTTCCCCTCATGAAGCTGGCTGTGATTGATGACTGTGTTGTCCTCCAGGTGTTCCTCAATAGCTCCCAGAATCACCTTCTCCATAACCTTCCCAGGTACTGAAGTGAGACTAACAGGCCTGTAGCTTCCAGGGTTCTCCTTCCTGCCCTTCTTGAGAATTAGAACAACTTCCAGTCAGCTGGAACCTCTCCAGATTCCCAAGACTGCTCAAAAAATTGAGAGAGGTTTTTTGATGACATCACCAGCTCTTTGAGGATTCTTGGATGAATCTCATCGGGGCCCATGAATTTATAGGGATCCAGCTGGAGCAGCAGTTCCCACACAATTTCAAGCCTGTCTTGTTACTAGAGGTTCTACCCACTGTCCCTTCAGCACAAGACAAAGATCCCACTTCTGTGCTAGATCCAAACACAGAACAGGACCAGCTGCCTTTTACTGATGGGGGAAAGAAAACGCCCAGTTTACAGAAACAGAAAGTGCAAGAAAATCAACAAAGACCATACTTTTGGAATTCAGAACTGGCACTCCCCTGAGCAGGAATAGGTGTTGAAATGCCCCAGACCCCAAGTCTTGTTCCCAACAGAAGCAAAGGTCTGAGCTGAAAGATGTTTCTGGATTTCAGGTTTCCCATGTTTGGGATGGGAACAGCCACAGGACTGGGAACAGTTCCACCTGACATGCAGCAGATCCCCAATGGAATAATAAACCAACACTGATGTTTTCAATCTCTGAGTGACACCAACTTCTAAACTTCCATCTCCTGGTCTTTGGGGCTCCCTAGAAAAAGAAATACTTTAGATAAGAGCATGGGCAGTTAAACATGTCCTCAAGCAGACACACAGGCTGGTCCCACAGTCTTGTAGCTCTGTCAGACACCGATCACACCTGAAGTTTCCCTCTGGGATAACCAGCTACACTGGGTACATTTACATTCCACCTTGGACACCTCACCAACTTCCATGGCACAGTCAGAAGGCATTTACTTAGCTGAAGGGAGGCAGATGGTAGGAGAGTGTGGGAAATGGAAAAGTAGAAACTTCCATGGATGCTGAAGTGTTCAATCTGCAGCCTTAGAAAGAGCTTGGGTTAATGTAATGATAAAGGTACACAAACATTAAGTAGAAAAATTATAAACTTATGTTTCTCTAATTGTAAGAATATGCCTTGAGTAAGTAGGAAATTATATTAGGTAAAATAGTGAGAAGTTTAAGTTGTAATAATGTGATTTACAGGGTAGGCTAAGACTCTAGAAGCTATAATAGAGGGGGGGGTGTGTGGGTACATGACCTATTTATTGGCTGAAAGACAGACACAGTGTGGCAGAATTAGCCAAAGGTGATGGGTTATTAAGTAGAAACAAGTTTTGTGTTAACTGTCTATTGGACCAAAATGTTACATATTGCTGTGTGAGGAAGATACTTGTGACTACCTTTAAGCTATGGCTGACCTGCTGCTTCTCTCCAAATCTCATGCCTTTGAGAGTGATGTCTTATCTGGCTTACTTGAGCAATAAATCACCTTAAATAGCATGGTAGTCCCATCCCTCGTTTTTCATCCCCACAGAAGAGGTTTCTGCAGCTGTGAAGTTCAGGAAGTCAAACCAGCCCATAGGCATCCAAACCCAGGGACAGGCTCCTGCCACAGCCTGGGCTGGGAAACAGATGGGGGAATCCTTTAACCTCTGTAGGGAGCAAGGGATAATTGTTGTTTTAACACTTCCTGGCTGGGTTGCAGTTATATCTGTCCTGCAGAGTGAGAGAAATAGAGATGGAAATATGAAGCTGTAAAGCCAGGCTGTATGGAAAAATCAAATATAGTCTGGCTAAGGTACAGTCTGCAGCCTTCCTCCCACTGGGCTGGAAACATCCCAATGCATTAGGGAAAGGAAGGGACACAGAATTAAATGCTCCTTTGACACCATGGCATGTCAAAGCCCTTTCCAGAGGCTGGGAAGAATTTACAGAACTTTGCAAGAGATTCTCCTTTGGTTTTTTGTTATTCCAAGCAATGCCAAGCAGAGAGATGGCCATGGACCAAGGATGAACACCCTCATTGCTCCCACCCCTCAAACACTGAGGAAAGTCCCCTACCCTAGCAAGGGACAACATCATATCCAGTACTGAATATCTTTCAAATATTTGGATCATTTCATGTTATGGGTGACATTCTGTGCTTCCAGCCTGCGAGATCCCAATAGCCAGTGTCATTCCAAGAAGTCCAGCCTGGATTCTCCCTGTGCTGCCCCATCTCCACCCCAACCATCCAAGCAGCCTCCTCCTCTTCTAAACAAGCTTTTGTCATGAATATTCCAACCAATCCATTAAAAAAAATCAGGAACCAGTCCCACTAGAAAGACAGAACCCTTCTCCTTGACACATCAGATCCATTGCTTCATGGAATGATGAAGAAAGCAACACAGGTTTTTCTCAGTGAAACAGGGCAAAAACAATGAAAAGGCTGAATCATTTCTCAGGTCTTTCAGCTGCACAATCACCTTGAAAACAGGCACTAGTGGTCAGCATGGACATCCATGGATCCACTTGATTCCACCATGAAAAACCCAACTGCTTGACCTTGGTTTCCATCACAGCTTGGGAATACTGTGTCAAGTACATCCCTGGTGCAACATCAATACCCAACCCCCAGGTATGGGCAGGACATTGAAATCACAGTTTCCTGGGCTAGAAATTACCCTTAAAAATAAGAGACATGCCAAGAAAACTCAGCTTTGTAATATCTACAAATATCTCCAGTGCTTGGCTGTGACAGGGTCTCCCCAGCTGCAGTTCTGGAGGACAGTGAAGTGTTAGGGTCACTGGTGCTGTATCTCAATCCCTGTAGGGCTACAATCTTTGGTAGCAATGATGGGGGGCATTGCTGAGCTTTTCCTTGTGTGATTCTTTGCTTTGAGCTCTGGTAAATGACACTTAATTCTTGAAGCTGGTGTCTGTGTCTGCTGCTGACCCTGCCACATGGCAGAACAAAAACCTGCAAGGATTTAAGGTTTTAGGCCTGGAATTCCCCTTGGTGAGCTTGCTCCAGGTCCTGATGATGT